GTGTCCAGCTGTTTGTGGTCCCATGGACTGTAGCCCACCAGGCTCCTCTGTCCATGGGATTCTCCAAGCAAGAATACTGGAGTGGGTTGCCATTCTGTTCTCCAGAGGATCTTCCCAACCCAGGGGTTGAACCCACGTCTCCTGCATTACAGGCAGATTCTTCACCAACTGAGCCACCAGGGAAGCCCCGGTTACGACTAGGTTTGAAGTTAAATAGATGATCCAGACTCACCTGATTTTAAGCAAAGGACCACTATGATCAAGACTACACATTTAAGTTTGCATTTGGCCAAGAGCAGTGTGGTAGCTCCTTTCCAAATGTGTTCCCTCCCCACCCCCACAATGAGCCTCATCTCCTGTTGTTTATGCCTTGTCTGATCCCCTCCCCTTGAATCTTTTTTTTTTTTCTCCTTGAATCTTAAACACTCCTATGCTTGCTATTGATCAATAAAATGTTACCAAAAATGATGCTACAAAACTTTCAAGGTTAGCTTCTTTTTTTTTTTTAATTTATTTATTTTTGGCTGTGCTCCATCTTCATTAATGCATGGACTTTTCTCTAGTTGCAGCAAGCAGAGGTAACTCTCCATTGCAGCACACAGACTTCCCATCGCAGTGGCTTCTTTTGTTGTGGAGCACAGGCTCTAGGGCTCATGGGCTTCAGTAGTTGCAGTTCCTAGGTTCTAGACCACAGGCTCAATAGATGTGGCCCATAGGCTTAGATGCTCCGAGGCCTGTGGGATCTTCCCGACCCAGGAATCTAACCTGTGTCTCCTGAATTGGCAGCAGATTCTTTACCACTGAGCTACCAGAGAAGCCGCAAGGCTAGCTTCTGCCTTGGACTCTTAGAAAGCTGACTCTGATAAAATTTAGATCAACTGGCAGAGGGATGAGCGGACACTCATTTGCTGATGCAAACAAAAACCATTGATATGATCCACTGACTTAGACTGACTTACTAAAAATTGTAAAAGTGAAGATACAGGCCCTCTGTTTAGAACCCTACATTTGTCTGTGGAATAGAAGATGCTCTTTGAGAGTTTTCTCCTGGGAGAAACCACTAGAAGTGGCCATTGTTATACAGTGTAAACTTGACACAGATCTCACCCTGTGGAGCTTATGAGCATAAATGGATGAGCTCACACTCCTGGATATTTATGATATGAGCCACAGACTAAAACTACATATATATATATATATGTATATATATATAAAATATAGTCTTGAGGTTTGTTTCTGTTACTGGAGTGGAACTGGGAGTTTAGTTCAGGTTTGCTCAGTTAAATACAGGAAACTTCCCCTGGATTTTATCAAGTCTTCTTAAAACATACATCACAAGACCCAGTAGAAAGTATCACTATTTTTTACCAGTGAGCGAGTGAAAGTCGCTCAGTCATGTCCAACTCTTTGCTACCCCATGGACTATACAGTCCATGGAATTCTCCAGGCAAGAATACTGTAGTGGGTAGCCTTTCCCTTGAATTACCCATAAGAATGGGCTTCCCAGGTGGTGCTAGTGGTAAAGAACACGCCTGCTAATGCAGAAGACATAAGAGATGTGGGTTCGATCCCTGGGTGGGGAAGATCCCCAGGAGAAGGAAATGACAACCCACTCCAGTATTCTTGCCTGGAGAATCCCATGGACAGAGGAGCCTGGAGAGTTACAGTCCATGGGGTTGCAAAGAGTTGGACACAACTAAAGTGACTCAGCATGCACACACACATCCAAAAGAACTCTAAGGTAGCTCAAACTCCACCAAGTACAGAATTTTACTGTTCTTTGAACAAAATGAGTATGTAATTCAATAAGGCTTCTAACATTAGGTGATCCGAAGTAGGAGGTACCAGAATAATACAAATGATTACTCCATCTGCCTAGGTGAGTAGATTTGTAACCTATGTTCTCCTTGCAAGGATCTAAGACTTTCTCCTCCAAACATTTCCAAAGTCTCCACTCCACTGATCACTCATTAACTACAAAAGAGTAAATGGACTTTAATAGAGAATCTGGAGAACACTTCAGATTTCAGTGACCACTGATACTGGTACAACTTAATATTATGCATATAAGAATAACAGGTGCTTAATATTTAAAATGTTCTTCCTGAAGGAAAACAATAAGAAGAGCACCTCAAACTGTGTGCCATCTTGGAAGGGTTCTTGCCATCTAATCAAACCAAAGAATTGATGCTCTCAAATTGTGGTGCTAGGGAAGACTCTTAAGAGTCCCTTGGACGGTAAGAAGATCCAACCAGTCAGTCCTAAAAGAAATCAACCCTGAATATTCATCAGAAGGACTGATACTGAAGCTCCAATACTTTGGCCACCTGATTCAAAGAGCTAACTCATTGGAAAAGACCCTGAGGCTGGGAAAGATAGAGGGCCGGGGGAGAAGCGGGCAGCAGAGGATGAGATGGTTGGATGACATCATTGACTCAATGGACATGACTTTGTGCAAACTCCAGGAGATAGTGGAGGACAGGGAAGCCTGTCGTTCTGCAGTCCATGGGGTTGCAAAGAGCTGGACATGACTTCGTGACTGAACAACAACAATCAAACCTCTCAACCTTCCTTCGAGCTTACAGGCAAAGTGGGGTCTAATTTTTTAGAGAAAAAATTAAATGACATCAGGAGGAAAACAAAGTCAGACAAATTAAGAAAGAATCCTCTGCTTAAATAATTGGCTCACACTCTTCAAAAACTTAATACCACAAAAACAGGTAGAGGATTTATTTTCTATTTATTCTCCAATAAAACAGACAGCCATAACAACAAAGGCATGCATGACTCTTCATTGGGCTATTTCTCCATAAAACCAAGACTTTTTTGACAATTGTAGAAATTTGCATATGGGCTAGATATTCAGTTCAGTTCAGTCGCTCAGTTGTGTCCGAATCTTTGCAACCCCATGAATCGCAGCACGCCAGGCCTCCCGGTCCATCACCAACTCCTGGAGTTTACTCAAACTCATGTCCATCAAGTCGGTGATGCCATCCAGCCATCTCATCCTCTGTCGTCCCCTTCTCCTCCTGCCCCCAATCCCTTCCAGCATCAGGGTCTTTTCCAATGATGCAACTCTTCACATGAGGTGGCCAAAGTATTGGAGTTTCAGCTTCAGCATCAGTCCTTCCAATGAACACCCAGGACTGATCTCCTTTAGGATGGACTGGCTGGATCTCCTTGCAGTCCAAGGGACTCTCAAGAGTCTTCTCCAACACCACAGTTCAAAAGCATCAATTCTTTGGTGGTCAGCTTTCTTCACAGTCCAACTCTCACATCCACGACCTTTGTCAGCAAAGTAATGTCTCTGCTTTTTAATATGCTCTCTAGGTTGGTCCTAACTTTCCTTCCAAGGAGTAAGCATCTTTTAATTTCATGGCTGCAATCACCATCTGCAGTGATTTTGGAGGCCCAAAAAATAAAGTCTGCCACTATTTCCCCATCTATTTCCCATGAACTGATGGGACTAGATGCCATGATCTTAGTTTTCTGAATGTTGAGCTTTAAGCCAACTTTTTCACTCTCCTCCTTCACTGTCATCAAGAGGCTTTTCAGTTCCTCTTCACTTTCTGCCATAAGGGTGGTGTCATCTGCATATCTGAGGTTATTGATATTTCTCCCGGCAATCTTGCTTCCAGCTTGTGCTTCTTTCAGCCCAGCGTTTCTCATGATGTACTCTGCATGTAAGTTAAATAAGCAGGGCTGGATATTAGGTGATATCAAATTATCAAGTTTCTTAGATGTGATTTAGTTTCTAATGTGGTTGCACTGGAGAATGTTTGTCTTTATTTAGGCAAGAGACAGCACAGGAAGAAAGCTAAATGTTAAGAGCTACTCATTTCTTGGAGGAATGGACATGGGCGTTCACTGAACTATTCTTCCAGCTTTTCACACCGCGATGGTGCAGCCAAACGGTTCACGATACGACAGAAGGGGAAGCAGTTTTCAGATGGCACTACTTTAGGGGTGCCCAAGAGATGAGAGGAAATACTATTCCTGGATTAATTCAACAACCGTCACCCAGAGACGGGTACAACCAGAGGCGCGCCTCAATAACAGCACACTCAGCTCCCGCGCCTCAAAGCCTCTCCATGCCTCCCAGGGAGCAGTGGTGGGACTGACTTCCTCTGAATTCTCCAGGGCAAAGGAAGAGTACCGAGCGGCATTTCACCAGAGCGCGCGACGCCAGGGACTTCTGTTCACACCCCGGGCCACTGAAACCTCGACGTATCCCCACCCTCCGTTTTCTATTGATTCTAAAAGGAAAACGCGCATTTCTTCCGCGAGAACAAAAGAACTCCCAAGCTTTCTTCTTTCCTTCCTAGCTCTGTGCGGGCTGCAATAAGTAAATCCCTCCCAGATTGCCTCGAGGCCGGACATTTACGCAACTTGAAAACAGGGGTAGGAGAGCATATAGGAGCGCGCCTTAAATCGAAATCCTTCCCGAAGTCGGCCACTACATCGACTCACCCCGGCTAGGCTCAACTGTAAATTTGCCTACCTAGCACCGCGGTGCGTGACATGCAAACTGATGGCGAGGATCCAGAGCGCGCGCCCGGACCAGCGCTGAGGGCTGGGGGCAGGTGCCCGCCGCCCTCCAGCTGGATTCGGGGCCCGCGCGTGCGTACGAGCGAGCTAGCGAGGGGCTCCCGGGCGCGGCGCGTGGTCTGCGCGCGCCCGGCCGTGCATGTGGCTGCGGGAGGCTGCGTGTGCGCGCGGGGAGGGACAGTCCGCCACCCCCTCGCCTCGGAGCAGGGTGCGCGCCCTGCGCGGGAGGTGAGTGAGGGCAGGGGCGCTGGGCCGGCGCGGAAGCCTTGGAGAGCACCCCCCGCCTCCACTCCCCGGGCTGGGTGGCGGGCGTGGCCCTAGGACCTGCTTCTTCCGCGCCGCGCCCTCTTCAGGGACACCCGGGCCCAGGCGGCTCGGCCGGGAGGCGGACAGGGCGGTGCCGCCTACTCCTCAGGCCCTCTCCCGGAGCGCCGCTGGGGTTGGAACCGCGATCAGCCGAGCCCTGGGGCTCTGGCCTCCGCGACGTTCAGCTGCCCCACCTGGTGAGCTTGGGAGATGGGGCCCTGTGAGGCTGTAGGCGACATCGCGGAGCGCCGGGCTGCGTGGTGGGGCCAGGCGGAGGCTAAAAGGAGCCCGCTGTCCTTCCTGACCCGCCCCAGGGCGCAGCCCACCCCAGCCCGTCGCCTCGGGCCGCTCCGGTGGCACATTCTGGGAGCAGCCGGTGGCTCGTTGGCCGGGTCGGCTGGGGAGGAGACGGGACGGTGTTTCGGTGTCGGATTCCCCAGCAGGCCTGGAGTAATTCATTGCCCAGACTCTGGAGAAGGGCCCAGGAGCTGAATTGTGGGAGGGTTGTTCCTCCTGGGGAGGGATTGGGAGGAATATGGACCTAAGAAGGATGGGCGTGCGAATTGGCCAGAGGGAGGAGGAAAGCTCAAGGGGCTGGGGCTTTGTGATTTTTAAGAGGCGGTCTTAGCAAGCCTACAAGTCATTTTAAAGGAAACCTTGAAGGTGTAATGGAGCCTCACTTTTTCAAGCAGTAAGGAATGATACCAGCAGGAAGCAGGAGTTACATTCCGTCTTCCTTCTTTCTCTTCCGCTTCTCACTGCTTTTCTAGGAGGGAAATTTGCAAAGCAGAGATGGTTTTCTTTCCTCTCTGTGTTCCTCTCTGTGTACCAGGGGTAAGGAGGTGGCGGCTTTGTCAGCCACAGTTGTTTTTATGTTTTTGGGTGTTTTTTTTTTTTCTTTCTGTTTTTAGAGTTAAGGAAGATTTGAGTTTGCAGTACTGGGAACGGCTTAGTGTTTTGGCCCTTTTTTCCCCAGGCAGCTTAGACAGAGGTAGGGAGCTAATTTTTTGCTCTCAAAATGTATTGATACCTGATAAAAGCATACGTTGAACCTGTATCAGTGTAGAGAAATGAACTATTTACTATTTAGAAATAAGAGTCGAAGACTCTTTTTCTCCTAAACTAGAAAGTTCATTCAAATGAATGGTTGTTGGGTAATTTCAGTCCTGAAAATAAAGCCTGTTATCTAGACAGTTGTTGCTCAGTGGTGTCAGACTCTTTGCGTTCCCATGGATTGCAGCATGCCAGACTTCCTGTCCTTCACCATCTCCCAGAGCTTGCTCAAACTCAGTGTCCATCAAGTTGGTGATGCGGTCCAACCATCTCATCCTCTGTCATCCCCTTCTCCGCCTGCCTTCAATCTTTCCCAGCATCAAGGTCTTTTCCAGTGAGTCCGCTCTTCTATCAGGTGGCCAAAGTATTGGAGCTTCAGATTCAGCATCAGTCCTTCCAGTGAATATTCAGGACTGATTTCCTTTAGAATTTACTGACTTGATCTCCTTGCAGTCCAAGCGACTCTCCAACACCACAGTTTAAAAGCATCAATTCCTCACTGCTCAGCCTTCTTTACAGTCCAACTCACATCTGTACATGACTACTGGAAAAACCATTGCTTTGATTAGATGGACCTTTGTTGGCAAAGTAATGTCTCTGCTTTTTAATATGCTGTCTAGGTTGGTCATAGCTTTTCTTCCAAGGAGTAATGTCTTTTAATTTCATGGCTGCAGTCACCATCTGCAGTGAGCCCAGGAAAAGAAAGTCTGTCACTGTTTTCCATTGTTTCCCGATCTATTTGCCATGAAGTGATGGGACCAGATGCCATGATCTTTGTTTTTTGAATGTTGAGTTTTAAACCAGCTTTTTCACACTCCTTCTTTCGCTTTCATCAAGGGGCTCTTTAGCTTCTCTTCGCTTTCTGCCATAAGGGATGGTGTCATCTGCATATCTGAGGTTATTGATATTTCTCCTGGCAGTCTTGATTCCAGCTTGTGCTTCATCCAGCTCAACATTTTGCATGATGTACTCTGCATATAAGTTAAATAAGTGGTTGACAATAATCAGTCTTCATGTACCCCTTTTCCAACTTGGAACCAGTCTGTTGTTCCATATCCAGTTCTAATTGTTGCTTCCTGACCTGCATGCAGGTTTCTTAGGAGGCAGGTCAGGTGGTCTGGTATTTCCATGTCTTTCAGAATTTTCCAGTTTGTTGTGATCCACACAGTCAAAGGCTTTAGCATAGTCAGTGAAGCAGAAGTAGATGTTTTGCTGGAATTCTCTTGCTTTTTCTATGATCCAACAGATGTTGGCAATTTGATCTCTGGTTCCTCTGTCTTTTCTAAATTCATCTTGAACATCTGGAAGTTCGTGGTTCACGTACTGTTAAAGCCTAGCTTGGAGGATTTTGAGAATTACTTTGCTAGCATGTGAGATGAGTGCAATTTTGCAGTAGTTTGAACATTCTTTGGCATTGCCCTTCTCTGGGATTGGAATGAAAACCGAGTCCTGTTGCCACTGCTGAGTTTTCCAAATTTTGAGTGCTGGTGTATTGAGTGCAGCACTTTCACAGTAACATCTTTTAGGATTTGAAGTAGTTTAGCTGGAATTCCATCACTTTCACTAGCTTTGTTTGTAGTGATCAAGACAGTGGCCAAATATAAATCAGATGAGATGCATGAAGTGATTTGAGAGCAAGGAGGAAGAAGAGAGGATCAAAGCTTTAACAGAAATGAAAATAATGTTGATAATAGGTATAGAACATTAATTTTACTAATTTTTTAAACTTTTTATTTTGTTTTGGGGTGTAGCTGATTAACAATGTTGTGATAGTTTCAGGTGAACAAAAAAGGGACTCAGACATACATATACATGAATCCATTCTCCCCCAAACTCATCTCCCATCCAGGCTGCCACATACCATTGAGCAGAGTTCCATGTTCTTACAGGAATATGTGTTTGTTGCTTATCCAGTTTAAATATAGCAGTGTGTTGATCCCAAACTCCTCAACTATCCCTCCCCTTCCCCCTGCAACCATAAGTTCATAGAACATTAATTTTAGATGTTATCATGCCCAATGTTGTTAAGTTATGACTGTAATATATTCCTTTTCTTTCTTCTGTTCAGTAGTTCATGGCAAATCTTGTAATTAAGCATGGAATATGGAAAACAAAACACTTCAGCTGGTACTTTAATCTCATGTGAAATTCTACAGGTAAGCCCATCTTATTTTAATTGAGAAATTATCCATATTGGTTAAAATTGCATATAATAGTCTCCTTTATAAGATTTTAAGGATCATTTATGCAGCTGCAAGTTTTGTTGTGTATTCTAATATATTTCTTTCCCTAAAAGATTCCAGGAGTTGAAAGAGTTAAGCTCAATTAAACCATTTAAGATTATATAAAGATATATGTATGTGTGTATATATATATATATATAATCATCATAAAACACCATGGTATCTCAGAAAAACATAGCTATATATACTGAAATTAGTGGTCATGTTCAACTCAAGATCGGACTCAACTCTCTTTATCCCTAAAAAACATACTCCATTGAATATTTCTGTCTTTATCTTCCCTTTCACATGATTTGCCTTGTCTCTATGCCCAGTCTCCAGCTCTGTTCTGTTCACTATTGGATAATACAGGTAGAACTCCGTTTTAGGAAATGCCTTTATTCCTTCTGCCACCATATAATGTCCAGGCCAAATACGCTTTTCTGTTGCATCTCTAACATCTATCATTGCTCATCCCTGCTCACTGTGTAGTAGGTACCCACGCTGCAGCTTCATGAATGAGATTCACAATGGAAGAGTCAAACAGGGTGCTTTTAAATGGCCTGGCACAACAGATTCAAGAGTTGCAATCAGTTTAATAGCAGGCTCTTTAGCATATATCTTTTTTGAGACTATGAGCATTCATTTCATTTTAGTAAAATGTTGCATATAATAAATATTGATTTGCTTTTGCAACCAGAGCTTTTGATACGTTGTGAATTAGAAGAGAAGGGAAGGCATGGCAAAGCTAGAAGTGACTTGTAGGGGGTCTTGCTCCATCTTCTTCAGATGGGCTTTGCTCATCCTGTGCAGGCTGAAACTTGGAGTTGTGAACCTTCCTCTGCGCTCTGCATTGTGTCTGAAACTTGAGGGCCAGGCAGCCCAGCCGCTATCGTAGGTCCAGTGTATTAAGTGGGCGGATGAAATACATTCGGATAGCTGAGGACAAGGGAAGTGGTACCTTGGTTTGACAGACAAGAGTGACAAGAGATCTCTTAATACTCCTCATCTAGGGCCACAGTGGGAAGAGGTATTAGCTAGAGCAGCTTTCACCGTCCTCCTCCAATGAGTGAAGCTCTAACGAAATAGAGGCAGGCAGCCAAGCTGCCAGGTCAGCCTTGGTGCTACTCTGCCTGACTTGCTCCTCAGCCTCTGCCGCCCGGGCTACTTGCTACCCCGTCTTTGCTACACTTGCAGTTTTCCTAGCTTTTCTGGGCCTGGTTATCCTGTTGCTTCTTCCCACAGGCTGCTCTGTCATGTGACTCCCTCAGACTGCCCACCGCTCGGGGCAGAGTTGTGTCAACTTTTTTGTACACTTTGCTCCCTGCACTGGAATCTCGAAAGGCTGTGAGGTTGGGTGTGAGGGTGGGCTCTTCTACAGGTGCTGTGCTCTGGAGAAGGGACATAGCATTTAGAGTTGAACCTGAGCTTGGGTTCCAGGTCCACCTGTTCTTGGGCTGCACTGGTCTCTGAAAAAATGACATGGTGACACCCATTTTACCATGTTGTGAAATGTGCTTTGTAAATTGCCCAAAAGTCCACTTAACCTTAAAACAAACAAACCCTGCTGACAACATTGTAAATCAACTATACTTCAATTAAAAAAATTAAAAAAATTTAAAAAGTTTTAAACTCTGCTTAAAATTCTAACATGTATTGCAAATTACAAAAAGTACATTCTGTGTGTGTGTGTGGTGTGTGTGTGTGTGTGTGTGTGTGTGTGTTGGATACAGTTGCACATAGGGCAGAAGCAAAGAGAAGATTGAAGGGCTGGTGTAGTTGAGTCCTGTCCAAAGATATTAACTTAGTTATGTTATTATGCTATGTAGTGGTAAAAGGAAGAGAGTAAATATCCTTTGCAAAAACTCTTTTTTTTCTTCTTTGGAATATTTCCCCCTGTATTTATTTTTCTTTGGCACTGAGTTAGTTGTAAGGACAGCTATAAATATGAATTTGTGATTTTTTTGAAATTTGGATGGAGATATAAGAAGTAACTTAGTATATAAATCTTTTTGCTCTATAGGGTTTAAATCTGCCCTTTAATAGCATTCTATTTCCTCCTTTGATAAATGAATAAAAATACCTAA